TAAATTTATAGCTATCGTCATCCTCAATTCCAAATTGCCTACTTCTTGGCATCTCTAATGGATACTGGAAGAGCGGTGAGAAGTGAAGGCAGAAGAGAAGAAAGATAGGGATATTTCTGAATTCTTTTCGAATTCCCCATAATACCTCGCACATTTCTTCATGGTAGGTCTTGATGGTCTCGAAGGTAACAGGCATTCATGAGCTAGTTTAAGGATCTTCTCCATGCCATAGTGGATGCTGCAGTTCTTCTCAGTCTTGATCCATGACGAGGAGGGCGTCTCCTTGTTTTAAGTTCTGGATTGCCTGCAGCATACATTAGGTTCTTATATCAGTTTGACAATTTGTGGAGCACGCTAACTGAGTTGTTCAAGGATTCTTATATGACTCAGAAGATTCAATACAGACAATGAATGCAATAAAAGTCTCAATTGAGGGATATTCATAGCAGCACTTACCCATCTTATGGTTACTCTCTCCTTCAGCGAGTTGTTTGGTTCAATGGGGTATCTGCCTGTCATCATCTCTACAAGCAATACACCAAAGGAGTAGACATCACATTTTTTCAGTTAGTTGATATGTCCTGAGGTATTCAGTGCCAGGTAGCCTATTTTCCTTTAATTTGAGTAAAATGTGAGTTGCAGCAGGATCTTCTTCAGCCATTCTTGCAAGCCCAAAGTCTGCCACTTTGCCCCGAAGTTTATCTGTGAGGAGGATGTTTGATGCTTTTATGTCTCTATGAATTCTGGAGGATCTGTTGATTAAAAAAGCAAAATGTCAGCCCCTTTAAGTTTTACTTTCCCAATCTGGAGTCTCAAAGAGTTATGACAAAAACAGCCTCAGATACTCCTATGGCCTAGAGACTGGAGAAACGTTATTAATGAAAAAACTTAAAAGTGGATCAGAAATCCACTCCTACAGAAGTAACCCATCTAAAAGGGGCTAAAGCTTTAGCTTTAATGGTAGTATCATGAGCCTGTGTGCAGAAAGAAACCCAAAAAGAGACACTATGGATGGACAAGTCCTAAAAACCAGAATTTCTTACTACTCTAACCAATTAAGATGGATAAAGAAAAAGAGGTGTCCCAAGTCTTTTGAAGCAGAGGCCCAAAGAGTGCCAAGAACTTGATCTTGTCCCATAGAATTTCAGTTTCATCTTCCCCACTGTCTTCAAAGATCCTCTATTTCTTTCACCCCAGATAACCCACAAAAGAGCGAGAATCACACAATTACCAAGATTCTGGCCTTTTTTCCTTTACCAAAGAAGTAAGTTCTCCATAAGTAAATCATAACAAGATCTAGGAGTAACCCAATGAAGATTGGTTTCACTACAAAGTTTTGTCCATAATCGTGAAGCCATTGGGCAGTGAAGGAACAAATGGTCAGAGGATTCTGCATTATTTTAGCACATAACACACCAATGAGGGAAGCGAATTCTTATCTTTTCTTGACTCATAAATGGAAACATTGTCAAGCAGCCTCATAAGCTCAGTGAATTCTTCAATCTCTCTTTCCTTCAGATTTCCTTTTGAATTTAAGTTCCAGCTTTCATAAAGGAAAGAAGAGGCATACACACTGACTCTTTTATTATGGGTCAATCTATAAAGAAGAGCACAGCGTTGATTCAAGCTAAAATACCCAAACCATTTATCGTCCCAAAAACAAGTGTCTTTGCCATTTCCCACCTCAAAAGTGATGAAAGGTTGGAAAGTAGTAAGCTCCTTAGAAATGGCTTTTCCAAGGATTTCATGAGAGTCATATTTTAATTCTTTGGAGTCTTTTCCATGAGGCCATATTTGCTTTTGATAATCTTATACCAAAGGAATTTTGTCTCTTGAGCAAACCTCCACAGCCATTAAGCAAGAAGTGCCCTATTTTTTTTTTTTTTTTTACAAATTCCCAACTCCTAGCCCTCCCGTTTCTTTTGGTTGAGAAGCTATGTCCCACCTAACAAGATGACTACTACCACCTTGTTAGGTGGGACAGACAACTACAACCCAATAATTGAATCAAGGCTTTTGGGATCCCAGTTGTTGAGAAGATTGAGAAAAGATCAGGAGGATGGAAAAGTTCGTTTCTTTTGAGAGAAGGAAGACTTCGGTGCAATCAGTGTTGGCAGCCTTGATCTTTTGGGATCCCAAAAACCTTGATTCAACTCTTAATTTAGGGTTTAGGGTGTAGGGATGCCTAACAAGGTGTCTAATGTTAAATTCTTGGGTCAATCTGGCCCTGGTTCTATGGAGATGATGTACCTACCTGAGTATGTGTGAAGATAGGTAAGAGCATGAGCTACATCAATTGCAATGTCCAGACGTTCCGCTGTTTCAAGTCCATTTCCCCTTTTACCTGCAACAAGAACGGCTGTTCTTATTAGAATTTGTTTACCCCGACACTAAGCTATGGAATCAAGAACGTGCTCTATCTGTAATTGAAAATTTGCATGGTCAAAGTCACATCTATCCTGTATGTATCAATTATTTCTACATTGCTTGGTTCTGCTGATTAATTTCCACTTTCAAAGTCCGTTAAATACTTTTCTGGACTTACCATCTAAATGTTCCCGAAGATTTCCATTACCCACATATTCAACCAGAATAATCTTCTCGTCTGCTTGATCTAGATATCCAAATAACTTTACCAGATTCAAATGCTCAATCTTTGATAAGGTCAGTATTTCATTCTTGAACTCCAGTAACATGTATTTGTCATACTTATTCTGCCAGAAGTATCAAAGTCATCAAGCAATGTCAAACGTTTAGTAGGGACATAATCATAGATTTAGAATATAACTTCCATTCTTCCACAGGCATAATTGTGTACCTTTTTAGCACGCTTTACAGCAACAATAAATCCATCCTTAAGCTTTCCTTTGTACACTGTTCCAAACCTGCCTTCTCCAATTTTATTCGCTGCAGAGAACTTTTCAGTTGCCTTGTAAATCTCTTCAAATGAGAAGTTGACTGTGGCAACCTGTTCACTAATGGAACCAGAAGAAACATATGAATCCGAGGACTTGAATCTTGTTGAATTCTTTGTGTAACTTTCTGTTGACTGATCTGTTGAATCTGCACAGCGTAAAGAAAACAATCACTAAACTATAAACTAAACCTTTCCAACAGTAGCAAATCTATAGATTGACTTACATGATAGTCGTTTAACTTGAATGTTACTTTTGCTGGCATCATCAGTTACAGCACCATTTGAAGTGGCCTTTGTTTTCCTGGGGAGAAAGACTCTGAAAACTCCAGTCACTTTCTTGGCTGCAGCTATGATATAGCTGACGGCAGAGGGAGTCTTACGATGAGATTTTCTGGCCAATTGGCGGTCCGACTTCAGTTTTGCTTGGCTCGAGTAGAGAACTTGGGGAGTTGACGGTTTCTTCATCAGCAGAGCTTGTGGCCGTTGTGCAGAGAAGTAGGCTGATCATAATATGTTTTGGTCAAAGTTTTAAGGAATCTGGTAATGGTTGCCATCATGTATTCACTGATTGTATTTAATGTGAAGAAGACCGATTCAAGCATGTATAGGCATAATTTTTTAATGCGAAAGGAAAGACAATTGGCGGAAATTTTTTTGTATACATATGATCAAGTCAAATAGTCTTGTAGTTACATGGAACATATCATTGGTCAGAGGTTTGAATTAGGCGGTTCAATTATCAAGTTGGACGAGGTACGCCATCTACGGGCCGGCCAGCACATTCATAGTAACGGACCATAATTAGTAAAATTCCATCCCCCCTGTAAAGAAAGGGATGGCAGCAAAGTTTTGGTTCACGAAATGTTTTATTATTGGAAAGAAGGATTAAGATTACCGAATATATTTAGAAAAATTTATTTAAATGGTTAGAATAAATTAATAAATATATTAAATTAATATGTTTAATTAAAAGGAATAGACTTGCAGATATATTATTTAAATTATCGAATTATCTTCTAATTAAATATTATTATTATATTATTATTTAGACTATTATATAAACCCCCTATATTTAAAACTTAGCAAAAAAAACCCTCCAGTCTGATCAAAAATGGCCTCCGTGCACCAATAGGGCCATTTCTGACCAAAGATCTGGCCAAGTTAACACACGACAGCCATTTTCGATTGGGCGATAGGTGGGTGAGAGTGATGGCTTGACGCTTGAATAGACTATAATTTGTTTTGAATTCAAGAGTAATTTTATCTAAAAAATTAATTAATTAAGATAAAATTGTAAAAGCCAAATTCATGTAAATTAATTTAAAAACAAAGACATTATTATCCTAAAATTTTATTAATAAAAGATAAAATTATAATAAAAATAAGATTACCTTAATAATCTTAAAATAACTAAAAAAATTGAGATAATCAAATTATTTCATATATAATCAACAGTACATACTATTAGTATTAAAAAATTACCGAAATTTTATATTACTTGAAAACCAAACATGATACCGTAATAACCTTACTTATCCTCCAGCCAAATGCACCCCCCAAAGACCTGTAAAATTGACTGCTTTGAGATAAGGACACAAAATGGCAGAAGGACAATCCAACATCAATTGAACGGTCACAAATGAACGTACCCAGTATCATACCTTGCCATATCTTACAGATTCAGTACAATCACCGTATTGCCCCTAAAAGCCAAAGCCTCAATGCATGAGGGATGTGAAATCATATGCTATAGATTTCTTTTATTTTTTGAAAAGATGACCAAAAAAAAAAAAGATATTTACATCGGAAGTTGATTGCTCAACATTCTGTACAATTTTTTTTTTTTTCCCAATCCTACTCCGATTGCAGCATCTGAGTCATTACAATTGTCTGGAGTTTGGCAGGACGTCTTAAACTCGTTCATGAAACTGACGAGCAAAAAGTCACCTGTCTTAGGGAAATAAAAAAGGGCATCAGATTGCTTGACTGGGTTTTACAAAACAATAACAATTTGAAGACCGGCTAAACGCCAAGGCCCTGCTGGCAGTGCCTTTGTAGCTAAGCGATACAATTCATTCTTCCCAAGTAAGGAAGTGATCAGAGGTTCATCCCGATGAGATCGGGGTGTTTGGGCTTTGAGAGACTACCCATATCATGTTAGAATAATGCTATGTGCACTAACCAAAATCATACTAACTTAAGTACTAACTGACGTGACAGACCTCTCTTATTGTCACGTCAGTTCCCCTCAAAAACTAAAAAAAAAAAAGAAATTTCAAAATTTCAATTATTAGTATTTGGATTAATATAATTTGGTTAGTGCACATAGCATTACCCTATCATGTTAGCCCAACATAACTGTTTGACCAGTAAAAGCAAAACATAGCCAAAAGAAGGAAAGAAAATGATTGAAATCATCACAACAGAGGATACTTACCAGTTTAATCAAAATTTACTCTCTCGGCAGTAGAAAAGATGATGTAGAAAAGGGCAGAGAGGAAATATAAGAGCGACGTAAGCAACAAAAATCCTCGGAATGAACCCACTAGTTCAACAAAAAACCCAGCTCCAACCGTTCCTAAAATTGCTGCAAAGGTTCCGGCTGTATTTGATATTCCTAAAACCAGGAAAAAGAAAATTGTTATCATATCAAAGTTAAATTTGAAGATCAAAGATAGAGCAGTTTCACATATTTCATTAGTAGGTGAAGAAAACACTTATCTGCAGGCTTTCACACCTAATTATTTATTTATCAAATTGTTATATAATACCTTTATGGCCAACTTCTAATGGTGTAATGGAGCTTACATAACAAGGGATAACTTAGTTTCATCAACCATAATAACCAAGCAGTGCACATCACTTGTGTGCAGCTTGGAAGAGTCACCATTTATGGTGTAACTAGTAGAAACCAGTGACAGAACTAAATTTAAAACACGAGACCTAGTTAAATGACTTCAATGTAACCGTTTCACCAGTGACACTAAGTCCTTACAGTTAAGGTGATCAGGTTTAATATGAATGAATGAGATCAAACATATATGTAACATTGTAGACATTTCATATTACCATGTAAAACACCAGAGTACTGGGGTGCAATTTCCTGGTAACAGAAAGAAAAGGGAAATAAGTTAAAGAGGAAATTGAAGATGTATTTCTAGCTTATTATTGAATGTTTTTAGCTTTTAGCACTCAAACCTGAAGATTCACAAGAAAACCAGAGTGACTGAAAGATTTCAGCCCAATAGCTAAAGTAAGCCAAGAAGATGCAATAACTGGACTTCTCGCTGCAGTTACACCAATTAGGGCAATCCCAGGACCAAAAAAGCCAATTGACTGCAGATAAGACAAAGATTGGATGCTTACCACATAATTCAAAAGAGCAGTGCAAAATACAACGTTAAGGAAATACAAGACGACTCAAAATATAAAAAAAAACAAAAAGAATAGATAATATAGTCTCAATCACTCATGTTCCAGGCCAAAATCATTTCTCTCATAACACTTTGTGTAAGTGTCTGATATACTCATGACACATCAAAAGAACGTATCATGTAAGCACAAGTTCTTCTATGTACTAGATTAATAGTAAAAATTCATATTAAACTCTTAATAAGTAAGAAGATAAAAATTTTATACTTCTTGTAAGCTCATAGAAAAGAGGATTTCTATATATTTCATCCTAGTTTCTACCCTTCCAATTTAATTTTAGAGGCAAACTTATACAGACAAGTGGCAATTACCTTTAAAAGTCTAACAAAGGCAAAAGACTCCAAAGCCCAAACAGTGGCACAATTAAATCTTGGATCAGAGTTCTAGCACCATAGCCCAATCATATGTAATACTAATACTTAGAAGTCAAGGATTCAGTCCAGGAGTTTTAAGTGTTATGTTACAAGTTCCTTGTTTTACAGGAAAGAAAAAGGTCTCAAAGTCACCTGTAACTGGTTTTTTTTTTTCTATTTCTTTAATGGGAAATAAAAGTTTGTATTATAGTAAGAGTATAGATACAATAGTGGATGAGGTGTCCGCTAAAGCAAAAAACAGAAACAACCCTTGAGGGGATAAGAGTTATACAGACATGTTATGCTAAAAGTTAGTCAAAGGGGTCTTAAAGGTTCCTATTTCCAAGTTTATGATTATAGCCTCATAAGAGAACAGTAAGTAAATCACATGCCAGGTTCCCAAAAGTCAAGTAAAGTAGACCCTATACTCATGCAGATATATGCTGATGAAATTAAGCACCTTACCTGCATGATCTTGCGAGTCAAAGTCACACTTGTGCCATTATGTATCAGTGTGTCTGACCATAAACCACCGATGTATCCCACGAATGCCATAACACTCCATGGAATGGCACTAAACCATGCTGCTTGTCTCAGGTCAACATGATACACCTGTAATGGAATATCATGTATTCATAACTTCTAAAATGAATATGTTCCAGCGGGCATGCCTCAATCACCTTAGAAAACCATGATTAATTAAGTATTAGGACTTACTGAGTTGAAGTAGATTGGCATCCAGGAAAGAATAACGAAAAAGCCCTGCACAAATATTTTTTTCCAAAAGATTAGTTCACATAAATGTCTTCACAAATTGAAGAGCATAATGCATATAAACACAAATTAGGAGGCCTCCCACTGTTATATCACTACTTTTTTCTGTTACATAAGGCAGTTTCAACTTCACAACAGAGAAGGCAAGAAATCATTAAAGCTATTTTCAGGGCGTGGAGGGCAAATTTAGTTAAGTAGGGAAGTGCAATACTAAGTGAAGGTGATGCTTTAAGACTTAGGAGACTTGAAACAATGCCTAGGGAAAAAAATATTATCAAATCCGACAGTATATTACTCATACAAAAAAAATTATTAAAAAATTATTATTACAACATAATCCTAAGGAACATTAGGAAAGATGTGCTCGCATTACCCAGCTATGCATGGCATTGGCAATGATAAGGGACCATGTTGGCATTTTAGATAGCAACCGCCTGAAAGGGGGAATCACTTTCTTTTTCTTAGGTTTATCCTCCATCAGGAAGGGCTTCTGCTTCTTGTTCAGTATGTACTCCAATTCATATTTCGATATCTGGGGATGTCGATCAGGAGTACTTGATGTTGCAGACAACCAAACCAAAACCCAAAGAAATCCAGATAATCCAAAAATTACAAATGGCCCAAAAATACCAGCTTTTGACATGAGAATTGGAGAAAGAATGAGTCCTATTGCATTTCCAAATGTAAATCCACCCATTGCAATTCCAACAGCCCTGGATCGCTCTGTTTGCGGAAACCATCTAAAGAAATAGTTCACAAATTTTTCAAGATTTTTGCTTTGCAAACACCTTTTTTTCAACAGAATTTCTTGAGGCACATAATGTATATCATCACTTTGTGTTGATCATGAAACAAAAAATGAATATACCATTATTACCTTGCCACCATGTTGTTCATGGAAGGAAGAGCAACACCTTCTGCAATCCCAAGCATAGCTCGCACAGCCAACAGAGCCCATAAAGAGGTGTCTGCAGCCCAAGGAGTAAGAAAAGTAGCTAACGACCATAATGCCACACCCCATGCCATGACAACCTTACCACCATAATAATCCACCAAAGTCCCTCCGGCTATTGGTGAAACCAGGTATCCCCAGAGGAAAGATGACTGCCAAAAATGCATATAATCAGTCAGAGGCAATTAAATTAGCACAATTGTCATAGTAGAAGCACATGGTCATTACCCTAAGTTATTTAAAACGATCAAGCCTAGTTTGGACCATAGCAACATCATTCCACAATTGCTAATCAAATAAGCAGATAGAAGAAAACCCATTTTCATATTCTAGTAAAGTATTCAGAACATTTAAGAAGTCAGGGTGAATTAAGAAAATTGCTATGTTGCTGGAGCACAATCCGAGTAACACTAGCAACAGGTTTGCTAACCTACCATGAATATTTTGATAAAGCGTAACAACATATTAATAACATTAAACATAGATTAGGAACCAAATACGACTATATCCAACATAATTTTATAATACTATAAAAGTACATAATAACATAATAACATGTAATATACATAATACATATAGAAATATTATCAGTTTGACATTGTAACTGTTCATGTACTAGCCACCCATGAACTTCTCTTCAATCTCAAACTATTAAAATAAAAAAATAAAAAAAGCAAAACAACATAAATAAATTTTGTGGATAATTGAATTTATATCAATTACAATTATTATATAAGATAAAAACTAACAAGTAACAAAAACCACCTGAACAATACCGGAAAACGATCGGCTCCAGCCCTGAGCAAGCGACAACGGTATAATGGCGACCGACATGACAACTCGATCGGCATTACAGAGCGCCAGAGCCAAAGCAAGCATCGCGACCACTTTGACTCTCTCCGAAGATATAAACTCAGCAAAACTCGGCGCCTGAATTCATTCTCCTCCGGCACCAAACCGAACTGCCTGTCGTTCGATGAAACTCTCGTTCTCACACGAGAGCTGACAATCAAAGGATCCTCAACCGAGTTGTCATTTCTCAGCTGAACTGTAGAAGAAACGTTTCTGAAGCGTTTCCGATGCAGCGATTCACCAAGGAAATGAAACGAGAATTGGAGGTTAAGTAAGCTAGTTCTGACGATTTTAGGGTCTTGTGGAGATTGAAAGAACGGCTGTGAATTGGTGAATTTAGAGAGTGAAGAAGAGTTCATGATGTTGAGAAACTTGTTGAGAACCTGTACAGGGCACCCTCACCAAGATTATACAGAGTTTGATTTTGTTAAAAGACTAAAAAGGCCCGACCCTTTTTCGTAGAACTGGAGGGTTGAAATGTCATTTCCAGAGAATATTATATTCCAAATTACGGTCCTGTCGTATGGTTCATTTGTCAGTGTTCCGTCCTTGCGTCCCGTTTGCCAATTTCACAAACACGTGTGTACATTGATACGTCGTCGTTTCTATTGTGACAACTACAAGTGGAATTAATTTCAGTTTTTCAAACTGAATCCTTGAAGGATAAGCCATCCGTCCTCAAAATTCAAACAAAATCTTTTCATATTCCACTGATTCAGAACAACCCAATGATTTAAAATTTGTTATTGTCATTAAAAATAACTCTGGTCAATTCTCTGGAAAACAGACGTCTATCGACACTATCCCCCGTTCACACTAACCATATGAGATAGTGCATAGGTGGGTCTTATTTCCTTTTCAATCGTGGGATTATCTTAAATCAAATAACATGCAATATACAACACTCAGCTCCCAATCTTTGAAACAAATTTAAACAGGTGAAAGATAAGCTTGCATTGCAATAAATTTGGAAGAAAAATAATAGTGGGCTAACTGCTAAGGAATTTAGCATTAGAAAAATAATACAGTTATCGAAAGGAGCACACCAAATTCATGCGTCGAATGATGTGACGCAATTCTGATCATCGATTAATTATAAATTAATATTAATCGACGGTCAAGATTGCGTTACGTCATTCGGCACATGAATTCGGTGCGCTCCTTTCGGTAACTGTAACATTACTCTTAGCATAATAACAGCAAAATAAATGGCTGTTGTTTCTGAACTTGGTATTTAGAGGAAAATTGCAATGGATTTGAAGGCTACGGTTGCCTAAAGACACCATGCTTCTTTTACCTGCAAATCCATCCCACTGTACCGCAAATAAAACCAATACACCAAGCTACAAATCAAAGAGCAAATACTCTCTTGTAATTTTTCAAAAGGTTTCTTTCCTCGCTTGTGAGAGAGAGTGTTATCGCACTTGTTTCTCATTACAAATTTTCCATCAACTCTGTAACAATGATGAATGCCCAGCATTCACAAAGGTAACAGAAGCTGGAGTCTTTATAATCTCATTACAAGCTTGCCTTTGGACAAATAACTTACAGGGTCTAGTCAGGGAACCCAGGGGGACCTTGGCAAACACTCTGGAGCAATTTCTAATTTCCAAATTTAACTCTCAGAAATTCTGAATTCTTTCATATGGTAAAGCAATCAAATTTCAAGAAAAATCTTCCTTCTATCATAGATTCATAGTTACAAGGACAATACCAGTACTCTCATTTACAACAAACACCAGAGTCTTGCCTTGATAGATACTAATGGTTTGCATTCATACAATTAAATCACATCTTGCTAGGACGCCTACCAAACAATGAATGTCGTCCTTCAGCTATTGGCTCCCCCGTTGCTTTGTTTTTCACAAGAACGATCGTTCCAGAATAACCTCCTCTTTGCCCTAATACCCTTGCAGTAATCTCTAACTCCTCCTGTAATAGGCAAACCATGAATCAATATCATTCCAAAAAAGAATACCATGTTTCCGTTTCTAGACCCAAATGCACTAAGACAGGACCCTGCAACTAAGTGCATACAAAGAAAACGAAGCAAATTCAATCAATGTAATCAATCTAAAGAACACTGGATACAATCGCTGGTAGCAGAGCTAATAAATCAAAATTCAGCTTGAGAACAACAAACATGACACCAATTAAATTTACGAAAAATACTATATAAGCGAGATGAAGCTCCCTTACATTCACTTTAGCAGTAGAAAGAAACGAGATTGACATGTCAACCGAAACATTCATGGGAAGACCATCCACCTGGACCACAGCTCCACCAAGTTCATCAACAAGGTTCGCAATCGCACCATTAGCCAAACTGCCATTCTTATCCTGCCACAATTATATCTGAAATTAAACATTTCTACAATTAATTATATGAAATTACCAAAAAAATTTTTTTTTTTAGGGTTTTAGTTAAGGTAGCTTACGGTGAAGCGAGGAGGGATCTTGAAAGTACAGGAGACGAACCCGGGCTCGACTCGGTCGACTTGGATGCCTCTCAAAGTAAAACGTTCGTAGAAGCTACAATCGAGTCCGACTCGGTGCGGGTGGATGGTGAGTCGTGACACGCTTTCCGATTCTTCTTTGCTCACTTCCAAATACTCTCTGGCCTTCTCCATTTTTGACCTTCCTTACTCCGTCGCACCAATCTGATGAATCAATCTTCGTTATAATTTTTCAAGGGAGGAATCATACAGTGTTTTGTTATGACGGAAGTAACAAATGTTTTAAACAATCAAGACCGTTGATCTGCGTTCTAACTTAAACATGGGTCCGCTTACTTATGATAGAACTGTCGGCCATGCCCCACCCTTTGGTTTGTAGGTAGGTCCCATAAATATTACACCAAACGACAATGTGTCACACAGTAATTGGCGTCCTGTATCAATAAAAGTATAATGTCAATCTTGTCGATATATGGCCGAACGACATCTTTTCATCCGGAGTTTGCCCTACCAACAATTTAAAACGACAATCACTCACCGATTGTTGATATGGGCCAGACAGTTTCCCACCCACCATTTAAATCTGTTAGCGAAAATGGTTAATTAACGTTAATAATGTTGATGTTGAGATTTATACCAATCAAAAGTACATAATTAACAATGTTGAAATCATATACTATGTGTGTATGATCTTAATAGATCAGTGATAGGACGATAAAAGTACAAGAATTAATTTATAACACAAAAAACAAAAATAGAGACTTTTCAAAATGGTTCGATTGCTCGTAATGCAATGGTTAAATTCACTGTTATGTTATTAAATTTATTGAAACAGTAATTCTATTTACAAAGAGTTTGTAATTGGCTTTCTACCACTTATTGTCTCTCAAAACAAATTACAACTGGGTTTACGTAGTGCTAATTACCAACTCAAATCTGATAAAACATAGAGTTGCATGATCTTTCACCTTGATTATGAGATCCATATCGCAAGATATCTACGTGTCAAATGAATATTTTATTCGCTCTGGATTTTCTGCATAACAAATAATCACTATAAAAACGAAAATATCCTTTACTCACTATTTAAATCTAGATCCCATATCTCATTCGAAATGAACCACACTTTTAACCATTTCAACGAAAAAAATATCTGTCGAGTAAGCTTAATTTCACATGTAGTGATAATATATTTCGAAGTTAAAAGAATGAAATATTGATTTTATTTTATAGGAAAATAATTTAAGTAGGAAATAATAATAAAGAATCTTAAAGGAGGCTCATAATTCAAAAACAAGGCCTCGTGTTTCAAAGTAAACTTTCTAGGAATGGGTTATTTAAAGGCAAATGTTGTGTCCTTAGTGGAGTTGACTTGAACTTTTTTGGACACACCCAAGGAGCAAATTGTATCCGGTGCATCTTTGGCCTCCTCCATTAACATTCACATTTCCTAAGTGTACCCAATACCGATACGATGCGTGCACTCTATTTCCTTTTATTTTACTATTTGATTTTGTAAAAAATAATAGAATTGTTTAGAAAAATTAGTAATCTTTTTATATACAATATAATCTTCCATGAATTTCTAAAATATCGAGAGGATAACTGATTAAAAATATGACATAAATATCATAAAGTTGGTCAATTTTTAAAAATCAATAAAGATTGGCTTACAACTCAATCTCACAATTGGGCAAGTAGGAGGATTCATTGTGAACGGACCAATTGCGAGCTGACACGTTAGGGTTATAAAAAAAAGTTTGTGAGATTAGATTGTAAATATAATAGTGCTATTTAAAAATTTAGGAATGTGATTAATTAAAAAACACTTAATTATGATAAAATTATCAATTTCATACAATTGAAGCGGTAGTCTATAGTCTATACCTACCCTTGGGTTCAAGTGGTAAGAGGAGTGTTAAAATGTATGGTTAAAGCACACGATTTTAGATTTGAATTCCCCTAGCTCTCAAGATTTAAGTGTGAAGCCGTGGTGGTGGGTTACTGCACTAAAGATTTATTGAGGTATACATAAACTCACCCAAACATTTTAATTAAAAAAAAAAAAGGCAGTACATAAAACTTTTTATTTATTTATGATCATTTCACTAACCCTTTTCAATTGTGCAATGTGATCATGAAGTGCCAATTATTGCATGTTTCATTCTTTTTTAAGGTTAAATAATGACTTTTAACACGCTAAACACATCCCATTATCATGTTATTAGTTTCCTCTATTTCACAACAGAATTACATCACCAACTTTATCATTATTATTATAATATAATTTAATAATAATAATAATAATTCACAATAATTAAAATTTATTTCGTCGTTAATGCATGGCTTGCACGTAATCTAACATCATTAATTTCATATTTTTATTCAAGATTTTACAAGTCTTTTATAATAATTAAAACTATAGAATAAAAAAAGAATTCATATGTTTATAATATTTTAAATGTTACGCTGTCCAAAATTCAATCTTTATCCGTAAATTTATAAATTGGAAACAACTGTAAAGATTTTTCACTTATTTTTATATTAAGAAACATTGATCTCAGAATAAAATCATTTATTTCAGAAAATTAATTCAATCAATAAATCACGTGTTTTTTCTTTTTCATAATAAATCCAAGGAAAATAAATAATTAAATTAATTAATAATTACGTATTTAAGTAATTAATCTCCGTCCCAGGGAGAGGTTTAACCAGGGTTTTTTTTTTCTCATCCAGTTTCGTTTTCAAAGCCAAAAACGCTTTCATTTCTTCTCTTATCAACTCAACTCTCATTTCTCTTTAAAAATGAGATGAGAGCCCACCACTACTGACTACTCTTCACCACCAGTAGCCATGACTCTCCAGCCACAGCAAACTCACCACCGCTACTCCACGTGCCACCGCCACCCCACCACCAAGCCCATCACTGGCTTTTGCGCCACGTGTCTCTGCGAACGACTCTCCAGCATCGATTCCTCCGCCACCGCCACTCCCACCTCCTCTACAAGTCCTCGCCTCCGCCGTACCAAATCTTACTCCTCCTCCGACCCAAATGCAGCCTCCGCCTTCGGCTCAGCCTCCGAGCCCCGCCGCAAATCCTGCGACGTTGGGCCCCGCAATACACTCTTCAACCTCTTCCATGTAGACGACCAATTTAAAAACAAGAAAATCTACGGCCCCACGAGCGTGGGACCCGCGTTAAAAGAAGAAGAAGAAGGGGAAGAGATTAAAGTTTGTGATGCGTTGAGTGAAGATGAAAATGAAGGCGAGCTCAAGTCAATGAAGGAGTTCATAGATCTCGAGCTTGAACGCAAGAAGAGTCACGTGAGTGGTTTTTGGGAGACGGCTTCAGTTTTTAGTAAGAAGTTACTAAAATGGAAGCAGAAACAACTGCAACGAAAGAACAAGAAACAGAGCACTGAAGAAGACAATAATAATAATAATAAGGGCACTGAGAGGCCAACAGCAGAGACAGAAACTCAGTCCGAAATTGGGTTGTACGGATATTTCGGAAGAAGATCTTGCGACACTGATCCGAGATTATCGGTTGATAATAATGTGAGGTACTCGTTTGAGGAGCCCAGAGCCTCTTGGGATGGTTATTTGATAGGCAAAGCTTATCCGAGATTAATAACGCCAATGGCGGTTGTTGAGGAGAAGGGTAGTTCGGGGAACGAGGGAGATAAGGATAGTCCGGGTGGATCTGAGCAGACTAGAGATTATTATGGAGAGTCTTTGAATATACATAGGCGAAGGAGGAGTTTTGATAGATGTAATTCGGGTAAAAGAACGAGCTTTGTTGATGTTGATGAGGTTAAATCAATATCAAATGCCAAGGTGTCTCCTGAAACTGTTGGTTTGTTTCACGGGGCCAAGTTGTTGGTTACTGAGAAAGAGTTGAGGGATTCCAATTGGTATTCGATTAAAGATTACCGGGCAGAGTGTGTTGAATCTGATTCGAAGAATGTTGGTTATGTAGATGGAGGGGTTGGTCAAAAGGGGTTTAATTTTAAGAACTCGTTGAGGCGGCGCAATGTGTGGAATATGTGGGGTTTAATACAGAAGAGAAGTGAAAGTAAATGTGGAGATGAAGGGAATGTGCATCGTGTGGTTGATGGAGCATTAGCTGAGTCATGGCAAAAGATTAAAAGAGTCGCGAATGGAGAACCAAATGGGACTGTTAGTGAGAAGCTTATTCGGAGTTATAGTGTTAGTGCTAGGAACTCTTTGACAGTGGATGGTGTTGAAGCTAAAGATAATGGTGGGAGGAGAAGAGATGAAATTCTGCTGCAGAGGAACCGAAGTAGTGCGTTTTCTCCTAACAACCTTGATAATGGCTTATTAAGGTTCTACTTGACACCAGTGAGGAGTTACAGGAGAAGCAAATCTGGAAGAAATAGGGTAAAGAATTCGCAATCTATGACTATGAATGGCTTGTAAAGGTGCATCAGTTGTTCTTCAATGGAATATTTTGTTGTTGTAAAGATATGCGTCTGCGTATTTCTCTTTGTTCTATAGATAAAAAAGCACATCATATTATCTCCCTTTTTGTGTTTAACATGTTCCTTAATAAGTAATGACAATGCAGTTCAAATTTCCTGGTATTTGTTGATTTTTTTTTATTTATTTATTTATTTTTAGCTCTTTCGCCATGAAGCTTAGCAAATGTAAAAACGAGATCAATTGGTTCATTCACATACAAAATCGTTCACTGGGTAGTCATATAATAGGCAGCTGAAGTTTTCTGGGTCTTGTTATACATTAGGTTTAGCTTTGAATGTTTTTGAATTCCGAAATCAGCAGTAGGTTATGATCTTTTGAACTAATTGTAGGATGCAAACTGTTATCTGCCAGTATTAGTAGTGGTAGTGCAGGCTGGCCTTACTCAACATGACAACAGAACTAGAGTTCCAGAATGTGACTGTCTTTGTAAGAGTTTCATAAAGAATCTGCTCGATTTATTGATGATTGGAGATAAGAGATAATTTGTATGTCTCAGCTCTTTGTTTTCACAAGTTGCAGAATCTGTACCAAGCAATCCTCATTTGTTTCTACACCAACCAATTAAAGCTGATATATATTGTATGAAGCACTATATTAACAGTGTGTCTGTAATCTCTTTTCTGGTGGAACTTGAAGGAAGTGCACCTTGCTGTGTATTCCTTCCGGCTTATCCTTCATTCTGTGGGCTGATCAGTTGCTTTTGGGACTTCTGATTAGTCCTCAATGGACAGAAAAGTTTGGACTGCGCCAGAATTAAACAATGTAATGCCAGTAGAGCGATTCAGCTCAGTTTTAAGAATTAGATTTTGCAATGGTAATCAGCTTCATGCTTATGCAAAGTGTGTTTTGGTTTGTAATCATACTTTTAGGTCCCCCCAGGCCCCAATTCATCATGATACCAATGTCTGAAGGGCCACCAACATACCATTAAAGCTTCTTCCAAGGCAGGTAATTTTCAACAATTAACTCTTGCCGTGCCCTTTTCAGGCTATTTACAGCATTGCAGAAACAAGGCTGCAGGGAGTAGAATTATATGGGAATTATTGGAATAATTGAATTGCGACATTACTTTAAACGTTTAACTTCCTGTGTAATAATGGCGACGGCACGAGGGTTCTCGGCTGCTGCCTTTATTATTCTGGACTCTTGATAATTTCAGCAAGAGCCTGCCACGGTTACTCCACTTTATTACTGGTTAACGTTTACTTTTAGCTGTTATGAGGAGGCTCTCTGTAAGATCTGGCATTGGATCCTTTAATATGTCCAGGGACAATTTGCCAATAATTGCTTGTCCGCTGAATTATTTTACTACTTGTCTTAAACAATTCAATTGAAATTTCTGCATAGGATCCCATAGCTCTGCAAACTACTGCTCCCTGAAGTGGCATCTTTTTCTCTACCCTTAATAAATTTTGTAGCCTGTGCTGCTTGATTCCTTAATTAATGGTTATATATAGAGAAGCGGTTGTGAGTTCAGTTTCCTTCAGTTGCTATAATAGAAAACCATATCCAATTTCAAGGAATCAAGTTGGCAAATAAAAAGCACTCAGTTTTGGATATGGTTCATTATATATATATACCCGCTGCAGATCTTATATTCAAATCGACAGTGCCAGAATTACAGTTAATTATTATCTGAAAGTAATTAACTAGAAACTAGTTATTGATCCGCGTACTTTTTTTTTTTTCGACGATCAGATGTATCCAGACCAGTTTATACGAATCTCAACTGATCTTTCGGGACTATGGAACTATAGGTCGGATAAGAACTCTGGTCATCACCCTACTAGCGTTAATCCACATACTTTTATAATGCAGATCAATGTTTCGAAAACTAGACCAGACTATGACCCGTTCAAGGGTCCGGTTTTTAGTTTGACCTGTTTGATCGGTCGGTTGGACCGTATTCTATAAAATTATTTGTTAGTCCCTAAATGTTTGAAATTCATCAAAAACACCCATATAATACTCCTTTAAGGTTTGAAATCTGTCTAAAACACCCCTGTCGCGCGAAGAGACTGGTGAGTGGTGGCGGCAGCGACGATCGACGGCCAATCGAAGTTGGAATCATGGGGCTTTTGATGTATAGGTTCCGACGTATCTGATGGTAGTGTTAGGGAGTTCCATCGGCGTCGGAAATTGTCGGAATCAAGAATGAAGTCCGACGGTCGCATGAACTTTAGGTGGACGGCGAGCGAAGAAGGCTGGACGACGGCCACTGAAAATAGATAGGTTTTGCCATGGAGATGCTATCAAGTCGAATGGTGGTGTTTTCTCCGTCAAGCGATGCTGGAATCTAACGGGATTGAGTTGCAATTGGACCGCGACTCGACACTATTCCACCGATCCAACCGTGGCTCAATCTGATTTAACTAAAAATGCTAGTTTTTAGAAGATACCAGACCAGAGATACCGTCGGCTCCCAATCGAATTGGTCTGACCAGACGGTCCGATCCGGTTTTCAGAATATTGATGCAGATAATAAAATCCACACTAGAAAATGATTACTTAGTTTAATATTATAAACCGTTCATATTTGTTGATCTAACAATGTTAAAAAATATTTGGAAGAAAGAGTAAGCTAAGCCAACCAGGAATGTTTGTACTGCAACAAGAAGTTCTTAATTCTCTTTTGTATTGTTCTTTATAAACCAGAGATTGATACAGAATTATCAGCTCAAAAACCTCAAAAATCTAAAATCAAACATTTCAGGGCATTCAAATCATGGGATAAAAAACACTCATTCAACATCATATCCCTGCTCTTGAAGCTCTTGAATGACCTCATTCCTCATCCTGAGCCACAATTTTTGAGTTTCTTGATTAAACTTTTGGTCCTGCAACATCTTTTGATAGTTATTCACTTCCCTCTCAGATTCAATGTTTCCTTTTGGTCCAAAAACAGACCCAATCATGCCACCCTTTCTTATAAACTCCTCCATCGCTTCTGTGTCACCTGGGTACGGAAACTGCAGCCTCTCGTAGAGATGGGCTAACTCTTTCTCTTCCTTTGGTCTAGGCTTAAGCGTCCACCAACCCAGTGGTGAAGTCTCGTTGAAGACCCACGCAACACCAAATAGCGTGTAGGTGCACAGTAGAGCCTTGCCAACTTGCTTCCAGAAGTGATAGTCTTCTCTACCTAAGCCTATTTTCTTCAAATACTTGTTGGCATCGAATGACTTCAGCAATTCAAAACCTGAAAAGTTTCACAGTTTTTGATTCAGACATTTTATCGAACAGTTAGGAGGCCACTTCCTAAAATAAACCAATGCGTAGAAATAATCAAGTATAGGACATTTTCAAGATTGTTGCGTTCTGGGTTTTACCTGTTTTGGCTTGTTGAAATCCCTTGCGAACCATTTTGTATGGAGATGAAATTTGTTGATCAAATTTGTGGTACGATGGCTTGATAAGACGACTATGGCCAAATTCAGCGCAGAGGCTTTAGAGTTTCTAAAATGTAATGTGACAGGTAATTGATGAAGATCTGGGCCGCTATCTTGGCAGTTTTGGGCCGATGACCCTTTACTTTAATAAAATTTAAATAAATAGAAGAAAAATAAAAAAATTTACTTGGTAAAAAAATAAAAAATAAATAACATTCAATCCCACTATATATAATTGAGATTGGATATAAATTATGAATTAAATAAATACTTTTAGGTTTATGATCTTGAAATAAATGAATTTAAAAAATTAATTTTGGACTCAAACAACCCTTGGGTGGCTGGGTGAGACGATAAAGACTCTTGAATGTATTATTCAAGAGATCAATTCTCCTCGATTGCTAATAGGGTGGTCATTAGAGGATTTCTCCCGTCGTTAACTTCAGAGTCTCAGAGAAGTAGTGAAGACTTGTACAAGCTGGGATATAAATGATCAACGCAGAGTTCCCACTGGCCTTTTATATGTATACCACCTTGAACCAAGAGAAAGCACCTAAATTTAGCACACTCAGCATTGCCAATAGCCAGAAGAAGTAATCGAGGTGGCCATAGTTCAGATTATCTGGTATCCATCCAAGCTTTCCATTTCTGGTACTTATACGGGTCACAATGTTTACAAGCAAAGAGCTCAAGTAGTTCCCTAATGCATTAGTTGTCAGAGAGAGTGCTGAGCTCAGGCTTCTCATGGCGTCTGGCGCTTGTTCATAGAAGAACTCCAGTTGTCCAATGAATGTGAACACTTCTGCACATCCTATAATGAAATACGTGGAACTTGCCAAAATATTGAAATGGGAACTTCCTCAAGCTCGTAATAATGTGTCTCCTCACAATTCCAAGTCTTACTATTTCTAATGTTGCTGCAGTATCATGGCAAATATGGATATGAAGAGGCCAATGCCCATCGCTGGAGCTGAGTTAGGCCATTTTTGTGACGGTGGACTTTTCTGGTAACTGGGACAATGATTCTGTCTATACTGGGACCCAAAAGATGACACTGAGGATGTCAAGAGGAAAGTGATGCCGGTGGGATCTTGAAGCTAGAGGAACCAACACGAGTATCCATAGATGCACCCTGCAATATAAATAAAGTTCCCATCTGATTATACACTGTGGAAAAGATGATTCCAGAGGCCCATATTGGGAGCAAACGTATAATAGCTTTCGTTTCTTCAACTTGAGTCACAGTGCAGAGTTCCATGGGTTGTTTGTGCACTTAGCATGATCAGATTGTGTCTCCACTGCTGCCTTATCGAAGAAACTGCAGATTACGAACAATAGAAGGGTGACTGAAACAAGGGCTAATAATTTGAATAAGAAAGAAGCATCATCAATGTTTCCATTTGAACAAATTTCTAAGCTAATGCATACTGAAGAAAGTAGTAAATATTAATTCCCTAATTTCTTGCTTTCGACTCTGATTTACTTTCAAGTAGGAAGTTGAGCACAACCAAGATCATTTGTGTGATCAAGCTTGCGGCTTCCTTTGATATTGGATTCTGCATTTGCAGTCTCATACAAGAGAGATCTGTCTGCTGGAACTATAACTTTGTACTTCCTAAATGATGCCACCACAACCTGACAGATGCGTGTGAGAGGGCTGCCTCCAGGTTTTTGGTTCCTGTAAAGCCGAGTACCTGAAAAGAAGCTCAGCACTGCTATGCCATGGCCACTGCTGAGATACCGAAACCCATCCGAAGCCCACATTATCTTGTATCCATACCAGCAAAGAAAAAGAAGAAGAGCACCAATGTTGATCGAGAAATAGAACCAATTGAAGAAAGAACTCTTGCTTTCTTCTCAGAATCGTCAGCACATCAAACTGATCAGCTCCGTATGATGAGACACAGGCTGAATCCCTCCAGCTCCTAGAGCTATCTGGTAAAGTGCTATGAAGCACACTGCGCTTGTGTATCTGTTGCTTGACACTTATCTTTGCATAACATGTTGGCTTGAGGCCAGAAACAGATGCTGATAGTGTCAACAGAGTCATTCCCTGTGTGATATGAAAATTTTAGCAAGTACACATTTAACAGAGTGAGAAGCATATTCTGAATTCCTCAAAGTAGTTATTAAGCATAGTTTAACACTTCACCAAGTTAAAATATGGGTGTAAGCTACCAAAGATTTGTGTTCAATGTGAGTGAAACTTACAATCACATAAATGCTTGAGAAACAGGCAACGTCCAATATCTTCCAGATAAGCATCAGTAGAAAAGCTCCAATTAAAGGTGTAATGTAGCATGTTCCACCCCAATTTGAGACATTATTAGCAGCACTTGTATTATGCTGATTTAAACGATGCTTGAAATAAAGAACAAGGTTGGAGCTCATCCCATAGTATGCCAATCTTTCACCACACTCGGTCCTGTTTGATTATGCTAAAACTCATGAACATCTAAATTTTCATTTCAGATTCAGCAGTTTTTTACAAGATGTCTAAGTACAGTCCTAGATGTAGGGGCAGGCCTTCCAAGTTCCAGTTTCCTTCTTGTGGGACAGATTTCCGCGGTACTACTGTCCCATCCTTCGTGTAAGTAGCATCTTTTCCATAGCTATGCTTGCTTATACTCTTTGGAAATATACTCTAAAACTGCAAAACTAAGCTATAGTATACTACAAAAACAACTGTTACACCATTCACTTTACCCAAAATGGTAGATGTCATAGAAGTTAGAAACCTGGCAAACACATGGGCAGGTCTTTGAAGGGACTAAGATATTTCACTACCTTGAAATAGAAAAAACAATTCCTAAAAATAATTTTCAGAAAATTTTCAAAGGAGGTACAGTCACAGTCATAACTAGAACTGATTGAGCAAGACTGGAAACCGTCTACCTAATCCTTCACAGTTTATGTGATGCACAGGAAGCAGTTTGTCTCAGAAGTCTGTAAAGAAAATGAGCAAATCTTGCTCGAGTACTAATAGCACACACTAGATTCACCATGATTTAGTATTATCTTTTAATCATAGCTTCACAGCCACAAATATATAACTCTACTGTAATCTTCAGTGTAGAAAAAGTAACAGTAGATGAGTTGCTTAAAAAGTCTGAATAGTAAGGCACATGCAGATAAGAACAATATTTTTTGTAAATAAGCACAAGTCACATCCAAGGCAAAAATAAATTTCAACCTTGTTAGAAATGGAGAATCTAAGGTTGGACCTTCATGATATGTGAGCTTGAGTTTTGCTTTAATATGTAGAAGACAGTTTTGCAAAGACAATATATACATATAAGCAAGAGTGAATGTTAAAGAGAGAACTATATCAAGATCCAAAGAACAATTATCCTGCAACATGAATGCAGTTTTTGAAGAGAACATAAAATATAAGGAGCGAGAAGATGTACAGGCAACTTCAAATGCTGCTTAAATTCGAATACCTTGAAACAAAAGGGGATTTAACCTATCTGTGAATGGGACAAACTTGTGTTCAGATAATGACCAAAGGTTTGGCTGCTTTGCCGACAATTATCTGTATAAGACTGGGAATCAATGGTTATTATGTCAAACTCACAATATGTATGATAAACTATGTATCCATGAATGAATTGGGACTGGGGTTATGCATCTACCCAACATATGGGCCATATCAGACTGTTTCTGCTTGGACAACTTGAATGATGTGATGATCCCTTTGGACCTTCTGCACAGGCTATCAAAAACAAATTTACAACCTTAAAAATGCTTTATCTGTTTGGCCCCAGAATGGTTTGCGTTTCAAAATTGAACATGCTTTCACCCATATTAAACAGATAGCTTTCTTAGAGCAGAAGTGTTTGAACAGACTGAACTTATTTACAATCAGCTGAACTGGCCTTCTAAGATTATTTACATTACTGGAATGGATTAGATATTAATAAAATAATTTTAATGTTTATGATCTTGAACTAATAGAAAAAGCAAGTAATTTTGGCGCAATTGCTATCCTTGTTTGAGTACTATTCATACTTACTATTACAATTTTTAAGAACACACATTCATCCTGAGGGACCTATATCTTTAACCCTTTACGAAATGCTGCTTCAATTACCAGAGTTAGAAGCTTAGATATTTGATCAACGCAGAGTTCCCACTGGCCTTTATATGTGTACCTTTGCACCAAGAGAAAAGCACCTAAATTTAGCACACTCAGCACTGCCAATAGCAGAAGAAGTAATCGAGGTGGCCATAGTTCAGATTATCTGGTATCCATCCAAGCTTTCCATTTTGGTACTTATACGGGTCACAATTGTTACAAGCAAAGTGCTCAAGTAGTTCCCTAATGCATTAGTCGTCAGGAGAGTGCTGGCTCAGGCTTCATGGCGTCTGGTGCTTGTTCATAGAAGAACTCCAGTTGTCCAATGAATGTGAACACTTCTGCACATCCTATAATGAAATACTGTGGAACTTGCCAAAAATATGAAATGGGAACTTCCTCAAGCTCATAATAATTGTGTCTCCTCACAATTCCAAGTCTTACTATTCTAATGTTGCTGCAGCTATCATGGCAAATATGGATATGAAGAGGCCAATGCCCATACGCTGGAGCTGAGTTAGGCCATTTTGTGACGGTGACTTTTCTGGTAACTGGGACAATGATTCTGTCATATACTGGACCCAAAAAATGACATGAGGGTGTCAAAGATGGAGAGTGATGCTGGTGGGACTTGAAGCTAGAGGAGCCAATGCGAGTATCCATAGCTGACCCTGCAATACAAATAAGGTTCCCATCTGATACACTGTTGAGATGATGATACCAGTGGCCCATATTGGGAGCAGTCGTATGATAGCTTTTCATCTTCAACTTGAGTCACAGTGCAGAGTTTCCATGGGTTGTATCTGCCCTTAGTACATCAGATCGTGTTTCCACTGCTGCTGCCTTATGAAGAAACTGCAGATTAAGAACAACAGAAGAGTTTCTGATACAAGGGCCAACCATTTGCATTGGTTAAAAAGCATCATAACTTTCCATTTGAACAAATATGTAAGCAAATGCATACTGACTCTTTCAAGTAGGAAGTTGTGATCTAACCGAAGATCATTTGTGTGATCAAGCTTGGACTTCCTCTGATATTGGATTCTGCATCTGCAGTCTCATACAACAGGAC